TGTGAATGTATATGTATATGTATATGTATATGTATATGTATATGTATATGTATATATGTATGTATGTATGTAACAAATGTATGTATGTATGTATGTATGTATGTATGTATGTATGTGTGTACTCGGGTATCAAGAGCAGCGAAAATCCTAGCAAGTGTCGATATGATCAATGCAGCCATGGCAGCGACAAGAGGCCTACTCGGATGAGCGACACAACTGCAAACAACACGACGCGAAAACTACAATGTCGCAAATGAGACAACTTCGAGAGAAAGCAGCAGAGGGAGAAGCAGCAACAAAGCCAATGGACGAAGACTTGTTTATCCACGCACAAGACAAAGGCGATGAAGGCTCCGACAAGACTTCGATGACACGGTAACAGGATATGCGTGCAGTATAAGTACAACAGCCATATGCCTTCGTAAAAGTCATTGCGCCGATCATGCCGACCAGCTTTGTCAGAGTAGTGTTTGCACAGGCTTTTGTGATGGAATCGTCATCGTTGCCATCGTCGTAGTCGTCGTCATTGTACGTTTGTGTCGTCGTCGTCGTCGCCGTCGTGCTCGTCGTAACGGGCGCGCAGTAATCGTGGTCGTAGTTTGGCAATGGCACTGGGAGGAGCAGTGGTAGCAGCAGCAGGTTTGCTCAGGGCTTCTGTGCGAAGGGATCCTAAGCCCTTATTAAACCCTAAACCCTAAATAAACCCTAAACCCGAATTAAGCCCTAAACCCTAAACCCTGATTAAACCCTAAACCCTAATTAAACCCTAAACCCTCAAGCGGGTTTGGTGGCTTTGTGGGGTCTTGAGACTCAGTCTACTCTTCGGGTTAATGCTGGGAAGGTGCGTTACGTCTTCGAGATGCTGGCCATTCAGGTGCGAAAGCCAAGAGAGCAATGAATAAGGCTCGGGGAAGATTACCTCATAACTCGTAGGGGTTTAGGGTTAAGGGCTTTTCAGACACCACTCTGAAGTTGCATTCTCTTAGGACCTAGGGCTTCCTTCAAATCTCGTCGTTGGGAGATGAACGTTTAGAGTTGAGAACTTGCAGATCGGGGTCCCTAAGCCCTAAACCCAACACCCTTAAACCCTAAGCCCCAGACCCCAAACCCTGAACCCTAAATCCTGAGCCCTAAACGGGGGTGCGGTGTGGGTGATTTGAGTTCATGTGTTGAGTGTTCGTTCTCAGTTTAGTGCAGTTCCTGGTACAGGACCCCCGGAAGCCGAAACGTAAATGACCCTGAACCCTATATCCTAAACCCTAAATGCCCTAAACCCTAAGTCCTCAAGCCTAAACCCTGAGCCCTAAAGACTCTGAGGCGAGGTGACCATGAGGAGAGTGACCACGTTTCACGCAGCAGAAGACAATGACCCAGTCATTCGATTCTGCTCCGGCCGCATGTTTGGGACAAGGATTCCTTGATTTTGCGGCTTATATGGGTTGCAAAAATAATTTGTAATACTATTACTTAGGGTTCCTTCATTCAAACGACAACCCGAAACCCTATTCAAATGATCAGGGCTCTACATGATGTGAACACTTGAGGGTTCGTGCTTAGGGCATAGAGTTGTCAGCGCACGGTCTAGCGCCAAACAGCGGTGTGTTGGGTCAGCCGTGTGGATATGGTAGGCTTGTCTCTTTGTACAAACGGAATTCGAATGTGTTGGACTGCCTGGCGACTTGGAAAAAGGAGGCAGCGGTGGATCTCGAAGTCCTACCTATAGTCTCCATTGTAGTTCCGTTTTCGGATTAACAATTTTTTTCTTTGTAGGGTCCTAGAAGGTACACCCCCCAAAAGGGATTACAATGGAGACTATAGGTATGCTTCAAATCCTGAAGTCCGAAATCCTGAGTCCTCGACACTGCAAGCCCGGCTAAACTGGAACCCTGAACCGCCAAGCCTCAAACCTCTCCTATCATAGGGACCCTTAGGGGAGTAAGGGGGAGGGAGGTAGGGGACTATACTTCCTTAAAAAGCCGTATTAGGTCCTCATTACAGGTATCCCCCCTCCCCCTTACCCCGTCAGCGTCCTTATGATCCTAGCTTCCAAACACCTCTATCCCCTGAACCGTTTGACCTCGGTGTGTGCGGAACTGCTTCGCTGCCGGCTCCTGCATTCCTACACCCCAAGCCCGAAATCCTTAATCCTAAAGCCCTAAACCATCCTAAACCCTAACCCCCAACTCCTAAACCCTAAACCCTAAACCCTAAACCCAAGCCCAATTAATGCCAAGACCTTTAAGGCCTGGCAGACCCTCGAAATGGTTTTACCAGAGAAGCGCCAGGACCCGAACCCTAAACTTTGGGTTTTGAATCCTGCACCCTCGATCCCTAAATCCACCCTTGTGTTTAGGGTTTAGGGTTAGGGCTTGGGGTAGAGCCACCGGTAGAGTGAAATCCCACAGTCCCCAGAATACTGTAGGATATACACCTCCGAGCCTTAGTCGAACCACCCTGAGAAGCCTTAATCCTAGAAGCCCCAAAAGACGACACCCAGAACCGAGCACTAAACCCTTCGGACATCTTAGAAGGCTTAACCCTATAGAGCACCAAAGTAAGTACGAAACCCAGAACCCCGAACACTAAACCCGGAACTCCGAACTCAGAAACCCCAAGAGACCTCCCAGAGCCTAGGGTTAAGGGTTTGGGATTTAGGGTCCCTGTCTCTGACCGGGCCCTGAACCCCTACACCGATCGAAAGGCCTCGGAGCCTGCAGCCACCCAACAGCATCGAGAAGTCCTACTCTTACTAGCTCGAAACCCCCGAACTACATTCCTCAAAACTCAGAGGGTCTTCTCCATACGGCTCTTGGGTGCATTGTTGGGGTTATGGTCTCATGAACCCGGACCTCCAAGAACACATGGGCAGTTCTCTAAGTTAGGGCCCCTCAGTAGGTCACAACAACGGTACGGCACCCCTGCAAGAAGCACCCTAAAAGGAAGAGAGCTAGCCAGGCCCTTTTTGTGCCGTTATCCAAAGCCTTAAAGATGCCGTTAAGAACGCTAAAAGGGACCCTAATTTAGAGAACTACCCATATTACTTCCTAAGGGGTAGAGCTCCATGGATGAGCCTTTGCCATCCTCGGCTCGAGCCCGGTGATTGCTGGTGAGTTTGGACTCCAAAGGGCCGGAAAGAAGTAGAGACATACATGGCTTGGAGACGCCTAATCCGCCCCGCGGTGCGTGGGGCTGATGGGGTTTGCGGGGTTTCGGACTGGAGGGTTTTAGTAAGGTTTGGGTCTCCGAATCGGGATGGCAGTGACTTTGGGGTTTAGGATTGGGGGGTCTAGGCAAAGGAAATGGACTACCGGGTCTCGGGCTTCGAGTGTTTTTGTCCAGGATTGCAACTTCAAGGGTTCATCTCGAGGTCTGACAAATTCTTAATATTTATCCCCTCATCGTCCCTGCTAGAACATACCGGCCGAACCATGTATTTGAAACTGTGAAGGCTCTGATATTGGGGTTTGAGGATCACATGGCTCTTTCGGCTGCTGCTGCTGCTGCTGCTGCTGCTCACCCTGCCCGTTCCCAGAGTCTCAAAACGAAACTAAGCAACCATTCTAGTGTGTTTGTTGTTTTGAATGCGGTTCTATGGGGTTTTACGCTTTTTGTTACCGGACTTTGCCGAGTCTGCTCTCAAAAGGAATATACCTCACATCATATGGGCATCCTTCTTGTGATTTAAGGAAAGCCCGACACTTCTTCATGAATAGGGTAGTTCTCTAAATTACGGTCCCTTTTCAGGAACCCAGAACAAGGCGGCACCCTTATAAACAGGACCCCAAAAAGGACTCGAATTTAGAGAAGTAACCATTTCCTTCAACTATAGGAGGCTTCTCGTAATGGCTTCAGGAACACTGAGAGGTTTCTGGGATGGTGTCTCAGAACTCGAGGACGAAACAGTCAGCCTAAAACTGTTGGAGACCAGATGGGGCATATATATCATAGTAAAACTATACAGGGACCATGCGTGGATACCGAAAGCCCGAAACGATGGTGCTGGAGTTCGATCCCCTAGCTTGGGCTCTGCAGAGCTTTAGGTGACATCCCATTAGGACACGACGATAACGGCGGCGAGAACGAAATGAAATGGCTTAGGGCTTTTTGGGGTTTGCATTTTCGCTTTAGGGTTTCGGGGAGGGACAGTGAAGGCCGCGAGAAATCAGGATGATCCTTCATCAGCCAGGGAGGTTGTCTTCAGCTCATCATGATCCTCATCCCCATCCTCACCATGATCATCCTCGTCATCGGCATCATCATCGTCATAGCCATCATAGCCATCATCATCACCACCGTCATCATCATCGACACCATCATACTTTCACAAACAAACGCATCCGAGCAGCCGCTGAAAACCCGCGAGGCGCCGGCCCGGCGAGGGTGCTCTCGAGCTTTTTTGGGCGAGGCGCCCCAGAAGCCGAGAGTTGTGGCAGGCTGTGGCAGGTTGGGGATCTCTTGGTGAGATGGCTCTGATCCTGCACCCAGGAGTTTGAGTTCACTTTGACTTTGCAGCCTTTTCACTAGAAGAAGGCTTGAACATCCTGTCACGCCGCTGCTCTTGAATGCTCGCATCGCAGGGCACCTTCAGCATTGTGTGAGTCGATGCAGAAGGCGAGACATGCTTGCGGAGTAGCTGCTTGCAGACCGTGACATCTCGGAAGTCACATGCAACTGAGGAGTGTTTGGTCTGCAAGCCGTGACTAGCAGCACGATTTATGTACAGACGTGGAGTGGAGGCAGGGCTGCCACACATCGTTTTGTGGAGCCTTGGCTCTAGCATAGGACAAGTCCAAGAGAGCCGGGGGACTGCAAAGGGCAAGCTGCTTCTTTACTTGTCACGCGACCTCTGCAGGCGTCTTGTGTGTAGCAAGCGCTTTGCCTGCTTTGGGTTGCATGGCAGCGAGAGAGAGGGTTCTGGCTCCAGAGCTGCAGCAGTTTGCGCGATGGAGGTGAGGAGACGGCGAAGCTGGGCCGACATTACAGAGGGTGATGCCGAGGGGGACGTGACAGAGGTGCTCGTCCAAGCAGAGCGAAGTGATGACCAGGAGAAATGACTACACAAGATCAACCTCTGTCTAAGTCCTTTTTTCCTTGTTGAGGGGCGGGTTCGGGACTTGCCTGGCCCCTGAAAGGATGGACATGCGATTCAGGAGTTGCCTGAGGCACGGGCTCTGGAAGTACCTGCTACTATTCGGAAAACTGGGCGCAACTGTGCAAGAGCCTGTATGGTAGCCTTCTGTGCTTTCCGGGTGTTTGAGAAATTGAAAAGGCATGTAGAACCTTGACAAAGGAGCAAACTCATCGGACGCCAAGGTGGGATATGCAGACACACACTTTGCCGCGACTTCCGCAACTGCTCCAGGGAAGACCACCGATCAAACCGATTGTGCCACGCGGAGCTTCAGGGCGACTGTGAGCATTACTGCACCACCTGCTATCGCAAGAGGTGCCGGAGTGACTGGTGGATCACCGAGGGTCTCGTCGTCTGCAACTGCATTACAGCAGAGAAACGAGAGGAGCTGCTCGGTTGCCTGCAGTCTGAAGACTGTCCATGTCTTCACTGAGTACGGCTGGCAGTCTGATCTGAAAGCAGGACCATGCAGCAACTGCAGCAGTTAACTCAAGCTAACCCCCAGACTTGGGTGCGACCGATGCCCGTAAGGATGTGTCATCCGCGTAACGATGGTGGTTGCCGTATGCCAACCGAGAATGAGTACAACAGACTTGTGGGCCTTCTGGCAAATCCCGCAACCATCGCTAGCGAGTCTCGGCTGTGGTTTGGGTTGCGTTTTCCTTTGAATTCCCCCTCGGACCTGGGTCCTGTCTCAGCCCTTGTCGGCCCACATTTCGACAGCCAAGGCCAGTCTCAAATACTTGTTGATGCAGAATCTCTTCGTGTGTTCAGGCCTCCTACTTGTCCACGGCTGCTCTGAACCAAGTAAGCAGGAACAGCTGCGAGGTCAGCTGAGGTCGCTGCAGAGGGAGTTCCGCCAGAGCATCCGAAGGCCAGCAAGATCGCAAAGTTGAAGCCATCGCTGTAGTAGGATTTGCTATCGCCACCGACAAATCGGGACTTTCCTATATTGGGGTACCTTATTTTGGGGTCCTTGTAATAAATCCTACTATTTAGGGTACTATATAAGGGCCCCCTATTTTCGGAAACCCCTAAATGTTGCTAGGCAAGAACAACTTGCAATGTCATGTGCTCAAGCTAGGCACGCTCGCAAGTCGCTTTTGGCTGTTTGTTGGTTTAGAGCCCTGTGCGTTGCCGTGTCAGACGGTTGCTTTGAAGACTTGAACCGAGGTGGATCATCGTTCAGGGTTTTGGGTTTAGGGTTGTGGGTTCAGAGTTAAGTGTTTTGGCTTCGGGGTTTAGGGTTTAGGGTTTTTGTAAAGACTTTGTTGGCTTTTAGCACTGCGTGGGCAGGGGTTGCAGCAGCCCGGAATGTGGTATTTTCTGCGCCGATGCCTTCTACAATGCATGCCGCGAGCGCCTGGAAGGGCACTGGGATAACATACGCCCCTACCTGGGCTTGGAGACAGAGAATGTGACCATCATAGCTTTAAACCGGGCATCTGGGGCAAGCATTTCAGAGGAGTGCGAAGAGCACCTGAGGTTGTTCAAAGCAGCCCTGCCGCAGGGAAAAAGCAGCCGAGTCCAACTGCTGGAAGATGCTGAGGCATCGCTAGGGGTACTGGCAAACACCAATGTTCTCATTGTGGTGGGCCATAACCGGTCTGCAGATCAACTGGACCTGCTAGTACAAAAGCTTCTACGGGCCTTCTCGCAGCCACGGCCAAGCCTCGATCTCGTGGTTTTCGGAGTCTGCAAGTCCTTCTGCGCGGGTCAGCTTCTAGCTGATGCAGGCATCCCGAGCATATGCTACGAGGGCGAACCCCAGGCCGAACACACGTGGGCTTTCGATGCAAGCTTTCGGGATGAGCTACTGAAAGGCCCAGACCCGTCCACCTTGAGTTCTGGAAGCGTGCTGCAGTCTCAGATACAATCGGCATTCGACCGTGCCTCCGCAGACTTGCTTTCTGATGGACAGCGTCCACGTCTATGCATGCCCAGCAAGATAGGGCGGCTTCGCCACTGGCTTCGGAAGTACCGATATGCGGCGACAGGTCTGCTCGCAGCCTTTCTTCTTGCCATGTCCGTAGTGAACGTGTGGAGGATCCACATCAGGCCGCGAGTCTATTCGAGCGAGGTATTACGGCCTTGCCGAGGGGCAGAACCCTTTTCTTTGGAGGAGATCACTGGGGTCTTGAGTGTCGCCCTGAGGTGGGACTTGACCTGCCATGATCCACGGAAGTCCATGCTTCAAGACTGGATCTGGGGCCTTTGGACCCCAGAATCAATGATCAGAGTGGATAAGTATACCTCCGAGCGTGTGAAGCCCACGTATCTGTTGATGTCCCACACTGTGGTCAGAGTTGATGAAGCAGTGCACAGTTTTTTCGCGAAAACTGGTTTCGGGTGCCATTTCATCATCATGCGGGATGGTAACTTAGTCCAGCAAGTGAAGGAAGAGCACAAAGCCTTTGTCATCAGAGGATGCTTTGAAAGAAATGTGTCCGGCAACTGCACGGCGTTGGAGGCCAACGCACACACTATAGGCGTCGCTTTTGAAGGCAATGGCTGCGTGCAAAACTTCACCAGCATGCAGTACAACACATTGGAATACCTAATCACTATGCTGCGCCAACGGGGATACAATATCCCAGATGAGAATGTCCTGCCGATAACAGCGGCGGACTACGTCCCAGGTAGACACGTGGCACCAGGGCGTTATTTTGATTGGCCGCGGGTCAGGCAAGCACTACCCAAAATGGAGTTTCATGGCTCCTGGTATGGAGCACCACTGCATGCGAGGAAGCAGTGGATGCAAACCGTGTCATCTCACTTCGAAGCCATGGGGAATGCGAAGGCCGACTATCGGTAGCGGCCCCAGAAGAGAATGAAGCTTGTGGCAGACTAGCAAGCTGATGTTGCCGCTGCTTTCGCTATAGCTGTCGGGATGTGGGCTGAGCTGCCAACCTGCAGTGTATCGTCGCGACAAGCCAAGCCGTAAGTTGTGGTGTGTGAAAACATCTCGAAAGGTCGAAGTGGATTGGGCTCGCCGGCGGACCGCTGTCACCTTGCTTGGCGAACGGAAGTGAATGCTGAGTGCGTGCCGGGTAGAATATGCAGACGGCAATTTCCAATCGTGTTTGCCGAAACTGTCTAGATGGCTCTGCTTTCCATTGTGACGTGCAGCTGTCAAGCCTCGTGGCGAGCAATTTGTGTATGTTCCATGTTTCATAAGCTTTGTGTGTCTATCAGAACATGCCATATGTTGTTCCGGGATGAGGCTGATGGCAGCAAGATAGTCATAGTCGCCCCTTTGTCAACGATGTGGCTCCCACTCTGTCTGGGAAGTTCAGTCGTTGAAGGCTGCTGGCTTGGGGAGCAGTGCGACAATTTGCGCATCTGGTCGCAGTACCTGCATGATGCTTTTCGGCATAATGTGCAGAAAGCAAATTCAATTGCAGTTGCCTAGTTGCCTAGACTGTCTAGATGGCTGTGCTTGCCACGGTAGCATGCTGCTGTCAAGCGCTAGTGGCAAATAGTTGTGCATGTTCCAAGTTACTGCGTGTGTGTAGCAGCATATGTTGTTCCGAGGATAGGAGGTAGTCATAATCGCGCCTTTGTCAACGACGTGGCTCCCACTCTGTCTGGGAAGTTCAGTCGTTGAAGGCTGCTAGAGAAAGCACTGCCACAATTTGCGTATCTGGTCGCAGCATCTGCATGAAGCGCTTAGCGGCTGTTTTGAAACACCATGGTAGCAATGCTAGGTCTGGCATCTCTCATGCAGATTATTCAAAGTGATGGAGCCTGTTCCAGCATGTTCAAGCACAAGGGGCTGCGTGGCCTTGGAAGCTAGGATAGCTTGGGAGACACCTCTGCATCCAAGAGCTGACGACCTGCTTTAATTTAGTTGCCAGTGACTTGCTGCTGCCACGCGTTCCTGCAGTCTTCCCTTATGTGCTGTTCCGGAAGTCAACGAAGTTTTCGTCGACGGTTTGGCTCCCACTCGGTCTGGGAAGTGCAGCCGTTGCAGGTCTGAGGCAGCTGACTTTCACATCGCGGCAGGAGTCCTGCGGTAGCTTTTCGGATCACTTTCATGTTTGTTTGCCTGGGAGAGCAGCAGCGGGATCGCAGCGGTTTCGGGAATCTTGTGTTTGCGATGCTACGCGGCATCGTAGCAGCCACTCGCAAAACAGTTCTTGTTGCAGAAGGTGCTCTGTGCATGCAGGCCTGACAGTCCGTGCCTGGCAGCCTAGGGCCTAGCAGCTTCTATATGGGTGAGGCTTGGCTCCATCTCTGACGTTGCAATTGCCGCTCCCATATCCCACAGATCCCCGCGGATGGCTAGATTGCTGCTGCTGCTTGTCATGCTGGTGCTTCTGGGAGTTTCCGTGGCTGAGAAAGAGCACAGCAAGAACAAGGAGAATTCTGGAAAAGACCGATGCGACACGAAGGACAAGCACGAGAAGGGAAACGCACGCCGGGAGGCCGACAAGGCGCGATCCAAGAGTGGCAAGGGTCGCTAGAGAGGGAGCCTTGCAAGCATTTTTGGGGAAGGCACACCGCGTGAAAGCAGTCTTGTCGAAGCGCCGCTCCAGAGCGCAGTTTAGATGGCTGTTTCTGTGTTCAAGCTACAGCGTACCGCGGGCGCCTGCATCACGACAAGACTGCCGACAATTTCAGCGGTGCCTTCGGGCAAAGCGCCCGCAAGTAGCAAGGTCTGTATGAGTCTGTAGGTCCGCAACCCTGCATCTCACTTAGTCTGAGCCAGCAGTTGCGGGGATGGCAGACCTCTGGAGTTCAAGAGCCAGCTTTCCGGCGAAACGATGGCAGGGTGCGTTCTGCATGATTCAGGTTTCAGGATGAATGCTGTGACCACTGTCGCAGCAGTAGTGTGCCGTAAAATGCGTAAGCGGCTTTCGTGCAGAAAGAGCGCACCGTCCATTTCTTGTACTTGCCCCTGTTCTTGCTGTAGCCCTTCTTCCCGAAGCAAGCCTCGGCCTGTGAGAACATGTTGCTCTTACCCTTGACCTTTTCCTTCCCGAAGTTGTACTCCTACGCCCTGGCCGCCACCGGCGGTTGATGTGCCATCCCCCCGATCCTTCTTGGCGGCTGCCACCCCTTGTTCTCCTAGTGCTGTGTCATGTGGGGCGTTCTGTTTCATGCTACACTCATGGGCCTTTGTCGCGACCAGCGGTAGACATGCACCATCCGCAACAGGCCGCATGAAAAGACTGTAGTCGCATCAAAGCCACAGAACTGTTTTACTCCAGGCGTCTAGAAAAGGCTTCCATGGACACGACCATGTCGATGCACCTTCAATTATTTGACTGCCGAGGCTGAATACTCACGCCTTCGAACACTCACATGGGTAGTTCTCAACTGTAAATTAGGTCTTGTAAAAAGGACACCAAAAGGGACCCTAATCTAGAAGACTAACCACGTAAACCTCGCAGCTGCTTGCTTGCGCAGCCATCGCAGCTCCAAAGCTCCGAGCGTAGCGAAGCTCTTCGTCGGGGTGCGGACACGGGCTAAGTGTGTCTGCCTCAGATCCTTCGGCCTTGCGTTCCAAAGTAAGACTGTAAAGCTCCTGTCATCATGATCATCTGCACAAGAAGTCGGTTGGGTGCTCGGTTTTTGGGTCTGTAAATCTTGCCTGACTTGATCTGACATTCCTGTCGAAGGAGACGAGGCACCTTCTGGCCTCTTTCAGCTGAGGTCTTTGGAAACATGGCCACGACGGAGTCGGACGATGTGGAGAACATCACGGAGGGCAAGTATGCCCCTCGTATACATCAGTTTCAAATCTAAAGCCGACGCCCCCAAACTTCCCTAAACCCTAAGCCCTAAACCCTTAACCCTAAACTTAACACCTCAACCCTCAGTTATGAACCAGGAGGCCTCTGTACCTCTGAACTGCCGCAGAGACCTTTCTCCAATCTCCATCTCCCTCAAGCTGCACCCGTCAGCCTCGACTAGCTATGCCTGAAAAGAATGGGTTTGGGGTTTAGGGTTTACAAGAATGCTTTTTAAATCAAGCCCTTATGAACAGCCCAGGCGTAGACAGCCCCATATACAGAGACCCTTGGATGAGGGTCTATTGCAGAGATGTAGAGGAGTTCTGCTTGGGTTTCATCAGGGTTTTTGGAAGTGTTTGGGGGCTCGTCGTTCGCACTCGTCTCTCCCCCAGGCGAGTAGTTCTCCAAACTAGGGTCCCTCTT